TTATTCATTAATATTTTTTTTTTTTTTTTTTTTTTTTTTTTTTTTTTTTTTTTTTTTGCACATAATGTAACTTTCTTACATAATCATCATTCTCAGGCTTGTGAACTTTTACAAACATACTTTTTCTGAGTACTATAACATGAGATAACCAGTGTTCATGTTAATTTTGTAGATTATTCGGATTATGAAGATAGTTCTCTTGAGTTTTTGGAAAGGTGCTCCTCTCCACTCACACGTTCTTCTGGGAGCTCTCTGACTCTGCGAAGCATGTTTACAGAGAAGAACACTTCATACCAGTATCCAAGAGCCATTCTGTCTGTCGACCTGAGTGGAGAAAGTAGGTTGGCTGAACAATAGGAAATTTTGTTTTAAAATTTATTTTTCCAAAAGAAGGTGAACTAAAAAGGCCAAATGCAAGCCAAATAATTCACTTTAGTTGTAAAAATGTGAAACTTTTAATGCTTGTATGTTGTTAAACTAATGTGTATATACTTTCATGACAGATTGAACAAAACATTTACTCTCCTCATGCTGTTCTGCATTGTGCTGAGCACTGGTTGGATGTTGCCACTCCTACCTCTAAGGTGGCTACATTGCATTGCTATATATATAGTAGAGGTCACCAAGAAGTGTAATCTTCCAGCAGTAAATCTGTGAGTGACTTCCGCTATGTGTAGTGCAGGATCATTCAGCATCTAAGTCCTAAATTCATGTACAAAGTTAAATGTGTTTGCATATACAACTTCAGATGTATTTGTTTTTATTAGACCTCTCGGATGTGGAGTTCTTAGATGATTCCTCCACGGAAAGCTTATTACTGAGTGGTGATGAATACAATCAGGACTTTGATTCAACCAATTTTGAAGAATCTCAGGATGAAGAGGATGCTCTCAATGAAATTGTTAGATGCATCTGTGAAATGGATGAGGAAAATGGCTTCATGATTCAGGTAATGCACTTGCTCTGCAACCTTTCTTGTGAATTTTTGCTCTCTTGGCATCCCTAAAGTTCTCTATCTATAGAACAGGTAAGAAAAAGGCGGTGGCGGTTAAAACTTTTTGCATTCCACACAATGCCTCTATTTTTTCTGTGCAGGATCACCTCTCTAAGAGTGAGGTTGGTACAGTTTGTGTCCATTCAGTCCTTGGCACCTCTGAATGTGCCAACAGTAGTGGCAGTTGCAGTGATATATTAAAATTGGAAAAAATTCAAAGAAGAGCAACAAAAATAATTAGTGGTATGGAACAACTTCCATTGGAGGTGAGATTAAAACGACTGGGACAGTTCATCTTAGAAAAGAGATGATTAAGGAGGGATATGATCGACATCTATAAAATCATGATTGGTGTGAGAAAGTGAATAGGGAAATGTTATTTACCCCTTCTCATAACACAGGAACCAGGGGTCACCCAATGAAATTAATACGCAGCAGGTTTAAAACAAACATAAGGAAGTACTTCTTCACACAATGGACAGCCAACCTGTGGAACTCCTTGCCAGGGGATGTTACGAAGGCCAAAAATATAACTGGGTTCAAAAAAGAATTAGCTAAATTCATGGGGGATTAGTCCATCAATGGCTATTAGCCTAGATGTTTAGAAAAACAACCCCATGCTCTGGGTGTCCCTTAACCTCTAACTGCCACAAACTGAGAGTGGACAACAACAGCTGGATCACTTGATAATTTCCCAGTTCATTTCCTCTGAAGCATCTGGCACCAGCCACTGTTGGAAGACAAGATACTAGGCTAGATGGCCATTGGTCTCACCCAGTATGGCTAATCTTATGAAGACAGTGGCTTGGTGAATAGATTTTGGGAAAGCATTTGAAGAATGTGGGGGCAGTATTGAAAAGGACACAGTGATCTGAGTGAGAAGGACATGAAGGTAGTATCTAGGCTGGCTCCATTGGAATGGAGTGGATGTGTGGCAGGGAACATAAGAAGAGACCAAGTTGGATAAATAGGAGGGAGCTGAATTATGTAGGGCCTTGAAGAAAAGAACAAGAAGATTGAACTCAGCATAAAAAATGATGAAGAGCTATGGAAGATCTTGAAGGAAAAGGTTGATGTAGTCATAGTAGTAGGAGAGAGATGTCTTTGATTGTGGCATTTTTAGATAGACCGGTGGGTCAAAATGGGTGTCAGACCAGAGGGGAGAAAGCTGCAGTAGTCAAGGCAGTAGATGTTTAGGATGTGGGCAAGTAATCTAGTCATGTGGACAGAAAGGAAAGGATGGATTTTAGAGATGTTAAGAAGGCAGAACATTTTGGTTAGTGCTTAAATTTATGATAAGGGTGAGGTGGATATTGGCTATTTGCAGTCATGACTGATCTGGGCTTGATTTGAAGCAGCATCCTAGAGCTGAAAGCCTCTATATTCCATCCATTACCAGTCCCCGAAGCTGTCCAGTAGCCATTTTATCTTTAAATATTGCATCAGCCCTTTTAGACATAGAGCAGTGTTCATTTCAAAAGTTCCCCATAATTAAATATTATTCCATTCATGTTTTGTTTATTACCCATTTCTAAATTCAACTGGCAATTTAATACTTCCCACACCTAGTCTCAACGCAGGTCAACTGGCCTATCATTTTTATGCTGCTATGTCCTTATAACCTTGGTATTACTCCCTTCCTATCTTTATTTCTACACTTTCTTCATTTTCTTTTTCTTTTAGATTTTTTTTCATCAGTGCAATATTAAAAATAAATCTTAAGCACTGGAGAGATGCTTTGTAAATGAAAACTGAAATTTTCTCTTTTCCATTGTTATGCTATAATATACACCTCTACCCCGCTATAACGCGACCCGATATAACACGGGTTCGCATATAGTGCGGTAGCAGCGGGCTTCCGGTGGTGCTTTAAACGGTCCAGGGCTCCAGGTGCTGCAGGGAGCCCCTGGCTCTTTAAATTACCACTGGAGCCCTGCCACCGCTACTCCGATATAACAGCGTTTCACCTATAACGTAGTAGGGGGTTTTGGCTCCCCACGACTGCGTTATATCGGTGTAGAAGTGTATTGCTATATATTTCTATTTTGCCATAGTCCTATACTGGTGTCTTTATGCTCAGCTACTAAATATTTAGTGCTAAATTACTTATTTTGTTATAATAAAATATTGTTAGACGTTAAATCCTACATTTTGTTTTCCAGATTAGAATTTGTGGCCATGGGGTCACTTTCAAAACTAAAATTATGCTTAATTATGGCTTGTTTTTGCTACAGCAAATACAAATTGCATGAGTACGATACTATAACTCAAGCCACCTGCTAAAGGAAAGCTGCTATTCCCTGCATTTTGAACAGGCTGGAAATAGAACTGACTTACAAATAATGAATTACCTTGTTTCTTTTGGATTGTAGTGTGAAGAATGCCTGTGCTGGCAACATAGTGTATGTATGGGATTATTAGAGGACAGCATTCCAGAGCAGTACATCTGTTACATCTGCAGGGACCCACCAGGTATGAGTTAAATCACTGGTTCATGCAAAATTAATTGTTGTTTTTTACTTGTTACATTTTTGCTAAAAACAGATGGTATTGTATAATCATTACTCACAATAGGATTTACCTATTTTTGTGCGTTTGATAGGTTATACTTTTCTGGATGAGTCTTTTATAACATTTTCTTCTGTTTGGTTCTGCGTGGCAACTTTTATTTTTCTGTTACTAATTCTTACATTTTGTTCAAAATGTTAACTTACCATTCTCATGAGTTCACAAGAAGTGAGTGCTCTCTTTTCTTATTGAGAAATTACCTCCCACAAAGAGTAGGCTCTTGAAGAGCAGTTATACTCTGAAAAGTGATGCTCTTGTGTGAAAATAGTACCTTCCTACTCACCAAATCTGTTCCCTGCATGTATTTTACTTCTGGGGGAATTCTGCACCTAAAAATTCTACACACAATATTTTAAAATGCTACAAAATTCTGCATATTTTACTGTTAAAATAACCGAATATAATCATGCCAATTTCAATTATTTTAGTAATTTATTTCAAAATACCTGTCCGCAAGTATGTCTAACAATACAAACCAAAAAAAATTCAGGAAATGTTTGTTTGTCTATTTGTTTGTTTACAAATAGATTCCTTAGTAGGCATATTAATACAGAACTTTAAGTAATTAAATTACAATACAGAAATGTATTTCCCGCACCCCTCAGAAGCAGCTTAAAGGCTTGCGGGAGTCAGGAGTAGGAGTTGAGGGAGAGGGAAGGAGCCTGTGAGTGAACCTGGAGGGTTGTTAGATGTGGATGAGAGAAGTATGGAACAGGGTTATTTTTGGAGGGCGGGGGGGACAGGGGGGATTATTAGGGAGTTGGGGAGCCTCCCCCATGCAGACCCAGTCTAGTCTCTCCCATTCAGTCAGGCACATCTGCCTGTGTGCCTGCCCCTTGTTCCCTATATGTACTTGCAGCCCCCCCTGTTCCCAAGTGGCCCTGCATCCCCTCCCATTCAGCCCCTGTCTCAGTGCTGTCTCCCCACTAGCTCCTGAGCCCGCACCCCAGTCTGTCTCTCCACTAGCCTTTCTGAACCCCAGTGTGTGACCCTCTCCCCCCCCCAGTAGCCACATGTGTCCCACTACCAGAGGGGTAGCTGTGTTAGTCTGACTCTGTAAAAAGCAACAGAGGGTCCTGTGGCACCTTTGAGACTAACAGACTGTTAGTCTCAAAGGTGCCACAGGACCCTCTATGTGTCCCACTCTCTCTGTTTTCCCCCCACCTCCACATGATCTCCTGGCTCCACGGGTAGGGTGCTGTGATGATCGCTGCTGGATGTTACTGCCTGTCAGTGAGCTGCTGTCTGTTCTGGCGCAACAGTGGCCTCAGGTGGGCGAAAGGTGGAACTGCAGTGCTTCTCAGGCCGAATGTATTTTCCACAGAGGAAAAAAAAATTCTGCACTGGACATGAACTCTAAGCGTGCGCAAATTGCCAGACTACTTTTGCATTCAGGTACATCTGTGCAACCTCATTGTGTAACCAATGGCAGAATTTTACCTGTAGAATTGCTGTTGTAGATGATGGTGCACGAGTCAGAAGAAACGCAGCTTGATTTTTAGATTTTAGCAGGAGTTTCAAGGACTGGCGATTTGAAAACCATTTTACTTGTAACCTCAGTATGTTTGTTCTGGGAGTAATTGAAACAATAAAAATAACTTCACAATGCCATGTTTACAGTTATTCTTCAGAGCAGAAACATGTTTTTGGAGGGAAGTTTAGAGTTCTTTCTGGCAAGGTTTTCACATATAGCCACTACCCCACCCATCTGGAGATTCATGTAACTGTTTAGTCTTCTCAGATGGAGAAACGAGAACAAAATATACATATTTAAATGTATACTTGGATACCTAAATAAGTGGGCTAATTTGCAGAGGTGATAAGTACTCATAACTGCCACTGACTTCCATGGGAGGCGAAGATGCTTAGTATCTCTGAAAAATAGGCCATTTATTTAGATGTCTCCATTATGGACTTAGGCACCTAACTTTAAGCACAGACATTTGAAAATTCAGCCCTATGTTTTTGACTGTAAGACACTTGAGTTTTATAATCTAGTGTGTATATGTGACACTGAATTTTGTATTTGAAGATATAAAATTAGTGTGTGCCACTGACTTTAAAATATTTGGAACTGCTCATTTGATGACACAGTTTGGCCCCAATCCTCCCTTCCCGCCTGCCTCCTCTGACTCCACTTCTCCGCCCCCTTCCCGCCGCCCCGCCCCTTTCTTTCTGTCTAGGAGATGAGTCATTCAGGATGTCAGCATTTGACACTGGATTGGGAGGATGGGCTGGGTAATGGAGGGTGTTTTGCTGGAAAGTGTTAATGGCTACCATCAGGCTGGTTCTTTTATCCACGGATAATTCTGTGCATACCATTTTAGTGTAAGGACTGGCAAGTTTCCATCTAATTTTGTTTTTCTAGTGCTTGTGCATTTCCGTTATGCTACAGGTGTGTGTATTTCTCGTGCACCATAGCTGGAAAATTTTCACTAGCAGCACCTGTAGGGGCAGCCCCTCCCACACCATTGCTTCCTTGCGCTCTGAACCAAGGGTATAAAGAGTGGAGCCACTCTGCTCATCCTTTAGTTCCTTCTTCCTTCCTGTGATGGGTAGTGAGAGCGTTTCTGTGCTTACAGCCTCGTTCCTTTGCGAACAAAGTTGCAATTAGTTAGCCTTTACATAGTGATACTTATTGTTTCATCCTTTAGATGTTTCTTTTCTCTTTAATCAATTTTATTTTGTTTTCTGTGGATCCTGCTGGCTTCTGGGACTTGCCCAGTACTAAGGGAGCCTATGTGACGGTCCCCTGTTTTTAAGCCCCACTCCAGCTGTCATCTGCCAATGCCTGTCAGTAACCTGCACTCTCCACTGTTTAAAGTGCTTGGGCAAGGGTCATGTTAGAGACCCAGTCTGACAACACCAGAGGTCAATGCAGCTGTGAGAGATGTATTTTTCAGTACTGACATCATCACTGATTCAGGGCAAAGATCCTCCACCAGCCCTGTTCCTTATCTTATCGGTACTGATGGTAGGGTCTGTTACGTCCTCATCTGTCTCAGGTCCGGTACCCCATTCATCTGCCTCCTCCATGAAAATATCTAAACCTTCATGGCATCGCACAGTACTGATAGCTAGGAAGCCATCAGTGCTTCCTCATAGACTTTAAGGCCGGAAGGGGCCATCATGATCATCTATTCTAGTCTGACCTCTTGCACATCTCAACCACCCTCTCCTGTAATACTCAGCCTCTGACTGTTACTGAAGTTCTCAAATCACGATTTAAAGACTTCAAGTTACAGAGAATCCACCATTTACGCTAGTTTAAACCTGCAAGTGACCCATGCCCCATGCTGCAGAGGAAGGCAGAAACTCCCAGGGTCTCTGTCAATCAGACCTGTGGAAAAATCCCTTCCTGATCCCAAATATGGCAGTCAGTTAAACCCTGAGCATGTGAGCAAGACCCAATAGCCAGACATGTGGAAAAGTATTTGCTGTAGTAAATCAGAGCACTCCCCATGTAATGTCCCATCACTGGCCATTGGAGAGATTTGCTGTTATCAGTTGTAGATCAGTTACATGCCATTGTAGGAAATTTCATCATACCATTCCCTCCATAAACTTGGCAAGCCACACTGCCGCTGAAAGGTGTAACCTGATGCAATGGCTACAAGCTGAAGCTAGACAAATTCAGACTAGAAATAAAGTGTAAATTTTTAGCAGCGAGAGTAATTAACCATTGGAACAATTTACCAAGGGTTGTGGTGGATTCTCCATCACTGACCATTTTAAAATCAAGATGGGATGTTTTTCTAAAAGATCATCTGCTCTAGGGATTATGTTAGGGAAGTTCTATGACCTGTGTTACACAGGAGGTCAACCTAGATGATCTCAATGATCCCTTCTGGCCTTGGAATCGATGACAATGGCTTGGGGGTCACCAGCAGTATAATGGACATATGCAAGCACTCAAAGAAGAAAAAGCAGACACTCGTTTTCCTGTAACTGCTGTTCTTTGAGATGTGTTGCATATGTCCATTACATGGCCCATCCTCAAACTCCAAGCATTGGCGTCTATAATCGGGATCCCAGTGCAAAGGAACTGAAGGATGGTTGGGGCGACTTTATACTCTCAGTTCTGAGAATGAGGAAGCCAAAGAATGGGCAGGGCCTCCCCTCCAGGTACAACTAGGGAAAACACTCCAACACCTTGCTGTGACGCGCATATTTACAGCATGTTGGACACACAACACATTTCAAAGAACAACAGTAACAAGAAGGTGAGTAATTATTTTTAACAGTTGCAGAGTGAAAGTACTATATAGTTCTGGGAATAATTAGGGATACAATTATTATTATTATGATTTATTAAATTGGTATAAAAGTAAGATGATTAGTTAAGTTACTTAGGGTTCACTCATACTTGTGGTTTAGAAACAGAAGTCATCAGACTCGATCAGACCCAAGGTTCATCTAGTCCAATATCTATCTCTGAGAGGGGTCAGTATGATATATTTCAGAGGAAAGTGTAGAATCCTTCCCGTAAATCCTGATCTAAAGGTTAGATTGTCTTGCTTTGAAGCACCAGGTTTAATAGCTTTTCCAAATTTTTGTTGTTAATTATCATAACTCTGGATATTCTTGATATCCATTTAAATGTCCCATCTCTCTTTGAATCTTAAGTTCTTGGTATCTTAAATTATCTTTTCAATAAGCAGATATCTTTTTAGAAAAGACCATTCTAATTCAAAACTTTAATTTCAAATTCAGTTCACAGGTGTATCATGGTATAGAATATTTTTACTTCCTCACACTTGAGTACTGAGCTGGTTTGTTTGATTTTCTTTTAAAATGTCATTTACAGAAGTCAGAGGATATACTGTGTCATATATGAGGTGATGTGAATTTCTTTGAAAACCCATGATTAAAGATAGGATGTCAGAAGATATTTTAAGGATAGCACTCCTGACTGTTGTTGTCACTTCTGGAGAATAAATTCTGATTGTTGTTTACCCGTAGGTCAGAGATGGAGTGCCAAATATCTTTACGATAAGGACTGGTTAAACAATGGGCATATGTGTGGATTATCATTTTTAAAAGAAAACTACTCGCACCTTAATGCCAAAAAGATAGTGTCAACACACCACCTGCTGGCTGATGTGTATGGTGTAACTGAAATTCTACATGGACTGCAGCTGAAGATTGGGATACTAAAGTAAGTGTGGGTCTGGTGTTTCCTCCCCATCTGTGTACCCTTAGATAGAGGAAGTGAGGGCTCAGTGTGTATGTCAAGATAATTTTCATTTTAACTTTTATATTAAAGACCAAGCAGATGTATATCAGCACACATTTAGACAGTGTATTCTTGAAAATGTCATGACACAATTTGAATTGTTTGGATAGATGATGAAGCATTCTGGAGCTCACTCTGTGACAGGGCAGAAGCTGGGTTCCTCTTCTTCCTCTCAGCTCAGTGAGGAGGAATCCAGGGTCTGCACTTCTTGACAAAGCCTGAGGAAAAAAAAATTATTGCTAAGTGGGAATGCAATTGTTTTCTCCATTAAACACTAGAAGGTGAATTTGTGTTCCTGTTATTGACTGTTGTTGATGAATACTGAGACAAAGGAAAAATATTTGAAGAGACTAAAGACTTATTTTTTTATCCAAAATTTGCATGTGATAATATCTGTGAAATCCAGTTTGAAAGTGAAATGAAGTCTTCTGCACTCCTAAATCTACCATCTGCAATCTATTCCCCTGTATCTAATCATCTCAAATTCCTTAATAAATAGTATTACATTAATTCTCTTAAATATATGTGTGAAGCTGGGAATTACTATGCCAATTTTACAGAAGGGGAAACTGAGTCACAAATTGGTTGTTACTTGCTCAATGTCCAACAGTTAATCAGTACAGAACAGAGCTCAGATCTCCATTGCTGTACTTTAGCTAGTAGACTGTGCTTTGTCTCTGAACAATCGTTATGTGATTGGCTAATTTGGGATATAGTAATTTTTTCAAAGGCCTGAATGTTTAACATTCTCTTTTGTATAATTTTCTAATTATGCTTCCACTGTACAGTTTACTGGTCCAGTCATGCCAGGTGATGGAATTTCAATGGCAGTTGATAGTGCTCAGCACCTGACAGGATTGGACACTTCGGTAGCATTAGCGTTTTTGTTTTATCATAACACACTTATTAAAGATGACCAGGGCATACTAGATTTACCCAAAATTAAGAGGTCCACAACAATGCAGGATGAAACATTTGACAATGATGTTGTCAAATGATGCGGGCAGGGGACTGGACTCGATGACCTCTCGAGGTCCCTTCCAGTCCTAGAATCTATGAATCTATGTTCCCCTAAAAAATTGCCTATTAATGTAAATACAGTTCAGCCAAAATGAGAATTTTAAAAGATTTCATTGCTGAAAGTGATTATTCTATACTAACTTTTCTTCTCCCCTTTTTTCCAGAAATACACATCATCCTGATCTTCATCTTTGGGCTTGCTCAGGGGTGCGAAAAGAGCAAGAGCAAGTGACATTTGGGGTAGAGAAGAAAATAGTGACTTTGCCAGATACTGTTAATCCATCTGAAAGGACATGTCACAATCAAAGCCATAAAGAACCACCCCCTAGCTTACCGCAGAAGATGGAAGAAACTTATATTACAAGCGAGCACAGTTACCAGAAACCACAGAGTTTTGGTCAGGACTGCAAATCAGTTACTGACCCCGTGAGCTCAGATGATGAAGATATGAGTAGTTTTGAGGAAGATCAGGAATTTTGTTCAGATGATAAAAACTGTTCACAATATTCTTTAAAAGAAGATGGCATGAGTGAGCAGGTAAAACTCGTTATTCATGTGTATAAACTTAGAGTTTAAAAAAGGTCAAACTCATAAAATAGTTAGAAATGCATGCCCATTACTGAATTATCAACTGATGCGTGTTCTATTGGTAGGCAGACAACCCACTTAAAATGAAGTTTAATGTCGTGAAACTTGTTATGGTGAAGTAGGTTGGATTCAGATTGTTGCAGTTCAGTGCTGATAAATGCAAAGTAATGCACATTGGAAAACATAATCCCAGCTATACATATAAAATGATGGGGTCTAAATTAGCTGTTACCACTCAAGAAAGAACTTGGAGTCATTGTGGATATTTCACTAAAAACATCCACTCAATATGCAGCGGCTGTCAAAAAAGCGAACAGAATGTTGGGAATCATTAAGAAAGGGATAGATAATAAGACAGAAAATATCATATTGCCTCTATATAAATCCATAGTACGCCCACATCTTAAATACTACAGGCAGATGTGGTCGCCCCATCTCAAAAAAGATACGTTTAAATTGGAAAAGGTTCAAAAAAGGGCAACAAAAATTATTAGTGGTATGGAACGGCTTCCGTATGAGGAGAGATTAATAAGACTGGAACTTTTCAGCTTGGAAAAGAGATGACTAAGGGGGGATATGATTGAGGTCTATAAAATCATGACTGACGTGAAGAAAGTAAGTAAGTGTTTGTTATTTACTGCTTCTCATAACACAATAACCTAGGAGTCAGCAAGTAAAATTAATAGGCAGCAGGTTTAAAACAAACAAAAGGAAGTATTTTTTCACACAACACACAGTTAACCTGTGGAACTCCTTGCCAGAGGTTGTTGTGAAGGCCAAGACTATAACCGGGTTCAAAAAAGAGCTAAATAAGTTCATGGAGGATAGGTCAATCAATGGTTATTAGCCAGCATGGTGTCCCTAGCCTCTATTTGCCAGAAGCTGGGAATGGGCGACGGGATGGATCACTTGATGATTACCTATTCTGTTCATTCCATCTGGGGCACCTGGCATTGGCCACTGTCAGAAGATATGATACTGGGCTAGATCGACCTTTGGTCTGACCCACTATGGCCGTTCTTATGTTCTTAATTCATTAATTGAAAATTTGTAAACCCAGCTACAGTGGATTTCTGCTTATAAGAAGGTTGTTCTGTTAATATAACTAAGTTGTTCCAGTACATCTAGATTTCTTGTATTCAAGGAAAGTTTGTGGTTGCACTTTTTTTTTATTTTCTTTCCCCCCCATTTTGAAAGATTCTACTGGTTTGAGAGAGATTCCCTGTATTTAAAATGAGGAGTATAAGCAGAACCTGTTTTCTTTATTGTATCAGAAGGAATTGGTTGAAGAGCAAATTGTTAGTTTCTCTCTGTTGTCCTTAGGTCTCTTAACAGTTTTTAAAACCTGGATTTCTAATTATATTTAGTGTTGGTCTATGTTTTTCTTTTAACACCAAACTTCCCCCCAGAATTCAGTCATCTAGGTTAACAATTAACTAAGCTTGTTTCTGCTCATGTCAGGATTTCTAACAAATGTTTTAGTCAGAGTTCTTTGAAATGTAAATCCCATCTAATCTATACAGAGCTGATTTTTCTATAGCTTTATATTAGTGATGCTATAGTAAAGGTTGTACCCACACCTCTAAATCCGTTTTCGGTTGCTTGTAACTTCTTGATACCATTGCTTTGAGCAGGAGGGCTGAAAGTGTCTGGTTTTACTCTAGAAACTCTCTTAAAACAAAACAAAAAAACCTCTTAAGCTTTTTGAGATACCCAAGTATTTGAAAATAAATAAAACGCTTAGACTCACTCACTTGTCTCCCCCATTAAAAAAAATTATTCAGATACTTTTTTTTTCTCTTGGTGCTCCGGTGTCACAAACATAGATTGTTTGTTTTTAAAGGTGGCACGTAAGTTCTATATTTTTTAATGAAGAACTCCAGTTCACCTTGTTTGGAGTTAATTGTTTATTAAATAATATAGTTTACACATTGAGTGTGTGCAGTAAGGACACATTCAGCAATATGAATGCAATATTTCATATTGCTGAATAGTGTCATATCTTGAAAAAACAATCCATATATCCATTTATGCAGAATTCAGGTTTCCTTGGGAATCTCAGCTATGACTTTACTGACTTTTGTGGGTTCTTCCAGAGGGGAAGGGCTCTGGGCTGTTCCCCAACCCATATGGTGAATCTCTGAGGCAAGAAAATCTGCCAATAAGCGCAGGACCCACCAAGATAGAGGAGGAACTTTGTCACAATACACTCAGATGATATCCAATTTTGAGTCCCTTTTTATTAGTTCTGCTTCTCCTTAAACATCATAGATTGTAAATTACAAAACGCATTCGGGGGTGGATGGGTCCTTAGTTTTGCAGGTTTGTTTCAGTGTTACAAAGTGTTACAGGGGGCTGGAGGAGGTCTTTGAAAATTGCCAAAAAATGAAGAGCTCTGTGTAGCTTGAAAGTTTCTCTCTTTGACCAACAGAAGTTGGTCCATTAAAGATATTACCTCACCCACCGTGTCTCACCAAAACATGTTCTGTCATTTATGGACCGCCCCTGACATGGTTTCCTCACTCCTGACTCTTAAGCCTTTACAAAGCCCTGTCCCGCCCTGCATATTTCCATCATGTTTCTTTTGTATCCTTCTCCACCAATGTTTCTTATGCGCTGCCCCTTACTGCTAGAATGCCCTCCCTGATCTCACATGTCATTTGTTCTTATGCCAACAATGTCCATTTACTTAAGTAGCTTGTCCCCCTTGCAAGTGTTAATACTAGTATGTCATCTCCAGGACCCACCCATAGATCCTCCCAGCAAAAGCTGGGAAGTCCAGATTTGGTGGTATTCATATTTCTAAAGCTTAAGAAAAACAAGCAGAAAACTTTTTTGTTTAATAAATCATTTCAGGCCACTTTTGCAGGAAAAAACTTTTCAGATGCAAAATAGTCTCAAGAATGTGGGTTTCTCAAACAGGTCTATCAATATATACATAATACCGTTCACTCCTTTCTGTGGCAGCTGGCCTGCACTGAAGTGACTAACAAGTGTACTATCAAACTAGCACTGTCTTTGAATTTCTGTCTGTGAAATGCAATAATCACCAATAGTCAGACAGCTTCAGTATATGTGGGATTATAGGATTTTACAATTAAAATCAACTGTTAAAATTAAAATCAATTTATGGGAATTTCTCTTCTAGCTCATCCCATTGAGCTGTTAAATCAGGTATCCTATCTTTGGTCCTAGCTATTACCTGAGGCTTCACAGGAATGTACCTGACTTCTTATGGAATAATACACATGGGAAGAAAGCCATTAGATTTGCTTTCAGTTCTCATAACTACACGTGTTACTGGTCATACAATTATCTGGCCCCTTTTCATACTCCAGCCATGTGATCTAACTGTGTTAGCAAGTTACACAGGATGACAGTAGTCTGAAGGAGGAATGTACTTTTGTTTTAAATCTGTCCATATGCTATGAACTTTGAAATAAATTTAACAGGTGAACTTTGGGATTTTAGATACAATTCCATTTTTGTATTTTCACTTCATCCTCTATTGGACAGCAAACACACAAAAATCCTGGACTCTTGCTTGAATTGGATAATGGCTCACTGGTGCATTCAGCACTTCATGAATTAAGAGTTAGAAGTTTATGTAGCAGAGTGGTGAGACGTGGGCACTCCAATTGCACTAAACTGGGTACAAGATCTTGTGAATTTAACACTACTTCCTGTGTTTTCTGCTAACACTCATCTGTCTCTGTGGTAATCCTGAAAGCTAGATGTAGCTTTGTTTGTTTGACATTTGTATTGCAGTTGTTCCCCACTAATGTTCTTAAAAACTGCATACCAATATGCATGTTTATGTTTTTGTGAAATAGTGGTACAATTAAAAACTCCATCATTCAGGGCATTTGTACCAAGTATTGAAATCAAAACCAGAATCCAAGCGGTAAAATGAGAATAAAGCATTTATTAAGTGCTAACTTTGTTGATTTTTGTTGGTCCTATGGAGAAGAACACTGCTGAAGGGAATGTGGTGTGTGCTTGTAATGAAAAAAAAGGAGCAGAAGAACAAGTGGATTCACATCTTCAATGGCAGCTAAATCTCCTGACCCACATAGAGAATGTACAGAATGAAGTCACCAGCAGAATGGACATTATTGAAAAGGAAGTTGATGGTAATTACATTGTTACAAAGTATTGACATTAATCTGTGTAGAGCTTTGAACATTCAACGCATTAAATGAAGAACAATAAGTCTCCCATTACCCCGTCATGTAGATGACTAAGATAGTGATTAAGGCCCAAATTTTCAAAGGTATTTAGAATTTTGGGTGTTCTGGGACACCCAGAGTCTGATTTTCAGAGATATTGCGCCTCTGCAACATCCACTGAGGTAACGAGTATTCAGAATGTCTGAAGTCAAGCTTAGGCATGCAGCATTAGCAGTCATTCAAAAACATGGGCCAACGTGGCTTGCCCAAGGCCATGAAGTAGCAGGCTCCTGCTCCAATGCTCTGCCTACTAATCCACAGCATCTCCTGAAGTTGCTAGTATTTGTTTGGGCAATAGTATCTATCAGTTACCTGAGGAGGAGATAAGAAGTCTTCATCTTCAGCTGTGGTTTACAAACTAACTGGTAATAGCCTGGATTAAGGCGGCAGACCAGGCTTCATAACAACAAATTCGCACAACGATTATGCAGTAGAACTACATGTTGTAGTAGAATGAATGCATTCGGCTGTAAATTAATTGCCATTAACGCCTGCAGTTAACTGAAAACAAAATTAACGTGTTCATTTTTTTAACGCGTTAATTGCATACCTCTGGGAGGGTGAAGCCCCAGCCCAGAGCTCCAGGCGTGGCAGCAGAGTCTGAAGCTCTGAGCCCCTAGGCTATATTTGAAAATACAGAAAACATCCACAAATTTTAAATAAATGGTATTCTATTATTGTTTAACAGTGCGATTAAAACTGCGATTAATCGCTATTAATTTTTTTAATCGCTTGACAGCCCTAGTTTTCACATGTAGAGTCTCTCTTTACAAATGAAGAGAGTTTGAACAAAGTGTAGTTATTGTGTCCTTAATTATTTCTTACCTAAAACAAAATAGTGTTAGCCCTGATGGAATATTTATGATCAGATTGCATGTACATTGACCATGTTTCTAGAAAAATGGGATTAGACTCTTGCCATCCCTCTTTTTTATGAGCACTGAAATTCACTCAGAAGTTAGTGAGATTCCATTCTGAAAGTGACTGTCTAAAAATGGAACCACATTATATCACCTGCTCCCTGTTTTTGTTTAGTGATACGTTAAAGTTAGTGACAGAAGTGAGTCTTCACAGCCTTTTATTCCTGTTGAGTTTTTACTACCACAGAACCGTGACAACTGAGACAGTGAGCTGGAGTCTCTTCTTTGTATGTGTATCATCAACACATTGTTGGCTAATTTGGCCTAACGTATCTTTATATTACTGGAATTTAGCTATCAAGGCAATTGGAAGGATTAAGAAGGGGGACCACTTTAAACTGCTTAAAAGAATAAAAATTTCCATGGAGCACTGAATTATTTGGTTCTTCAGAAAATATATCTTAATTTAAATAATGATCTGAGTGTCTGTAAGTTGCACCTTCATATTAATGATTCATATGGCAGAGGCATGCTCCATTTTATGCAAATTACCTGCTGCCCTCAGGCTTGGCAAGTTGGCAGCATTTACAAGGATAGGTGCTGGTCCAGGTTCAGTAGCATATGGGAGAAGTAGGTTTGGAAAGGGTATGAGCCTAAAAACCCAAATACAGAACGTCTCACAACACATAGTGTAAGTATTCTGAATTTTTATGATCGGCTGCTCTTCATCTGGGCAGTGAATTTGGCCATGAAATATTCTGATGTGTCACACATTGGCAGTCTCACAGCTGGTTTGCGTGGAGCCATGGGTGGGGCACAATAGCCATTTAAATTTCGGTTGACAAGTTAGGACCAAATCCTAGTCAGGTTGAGGTCCTCAAGTATTTTGCTACTGACTTCAATGGCACTAAGATATGGCCCTTACAGCATTTCAACACACCTAGCTTTGGAGGGTTGAGCACTCTTTTTCCAAAGATCCCTTTCTAATCAAACTCTTCTTTACATTTTTCTCAATGTAGTTTTAGAAAGCTGGCTTGACTTCACTGGAGAGCTGGAACCGCCAGATCCTCTTGCAAGACTGCCTCAACTCAAGCGACGTATCAAACAGCTCTTAATTGACATGGGGAAAGTACAACAAATAGCCACGCTGTGCTCTGTATGACAAAAGGAAGAATAAAGGAATAAAAATAGGCTCTCTACAGTGAATTTTCTTATTAGCCACAAGACTGGCAGGAGGACAGCAAAAAGCTGGATATTTGTCTGGTTCTGTGCTGATTACATTTTTAGCCTGACGCTTTGGAGAAAGGAAAGGAAATCTAGATTAAGGAAATTGACACTGAAAAGCTAAATACGCTATGTTCAAGATGCAAATTACAATATGTCACATATTGAGGAACATTGAAATGGCAGAATTTCTCCTTCAGGTCATACAAGAAGGTTCAAGAAATCTCTGCAATGGAAAATACTATAATTTTATAGTCAGTAGCAGAAAGAGCCAAACTCAGTGGGAAAAACATACATCCGTAATTTTTTTTTCTCCTATTGCTAGTGAAAATACAGACACAGAGAGATCCATAGCCTCTCTACAGTTGGTCCACCCCCAAAGTTTTAGGCAGGTAACTGATCTTTTGCAGCCCAGGAACTATTTCTTGTCTAATTAGTGTTATTCAGGAAAATGAAAACATTTGCTTCACTTTTGAAAGAAACAGTATGTGGTGGTCTCCTTATAAATATTTTTTTTAAATGGAAATCCTCATTACAGCACCCTTAGGCTCTTTTAAAAACGTAAGTGGCAAACAGTGGTCAGATGTGCCAAATAATACTAAAACCACTGGGATGACAGTTTGAAGATAGTGAAATACCTGAAGAGTTTTTTTTCAAAGTTCTACCTGGTGCCAGCAATCCATCCAAAATTGTATCTAGTTTATATTTTTTTACGTTCTATTGCAGTATTCAGGATTCAAAGTACATTTTTGTCAGCTTGGTGTTAGCCCTCTGAATCTTTACCAACCTCATCTGGGATGAGGAATGACAAGAGCAGAAAAATTGCTTGTTTGTGGCTGTGAATTACTAAACCACTAGATTGAATATTGCAAAGATACATTATCTAAGATGTTTTTATAAAACTTTTAGCTTCAGTCATACGTGAGTAAAACATCATGAAACCAAAGGCAACCTAGTTGCTCTGTTAGCTCTTGCTGGATTTTGAGCTCAGGACCTTCTCTTTGCCTGTGCTCATGTAAGTTGTCACTGCACCCAGTGCTACATATGTATGTGTAGGTATAAGTGTATATATACACACACATTCATATGTATGTACTATATACATATTTATATCTACACATGTCTAGTTTTATTACTATAGACTATAAGAACTGGTGGTTAACATGAAATGTTACCTTTTAACAAGCAGTTTATAAAATTGAAAATAATGTATGTACAGGTTTTGGAATTTGTAAAATATGACTGTTAAAAGGAGGCTATTTAATTGATGACATAAGATACTTGAACATTTTATGCCTCACAACTGTTTATCAGTTCTAGTTTTCTGTATAAATGCATTTTAGAACCGATAGACAGTAAACTTGAATTTACCTTTTGATAAGAGTACAAGCCACTGTACATTCAAAAATTATTTAAATTTGCAAACACACTGTTCTATATGTAAGGTACTGTATGTAAAACTGTTTATTAAAACTATTCTGCATACTCTACATTTTCCACTTTTCTTCCTGTCCTATACAGAAATGTAAAAAAGTGATTAAAATAATGTACAGACCATAAAAAACTCGAATTTTTTGAATGCCTGTTGAGGATTCAGACAGTCGAAAAATGTGCCAAAGATGGATTGTGTACAAAAGATGTTGAAACTAGTGTTTTGAACTTTCATCATAAAACCATTCTTGAGAGAGAAAGTAGCATGCCCGGGTACTTATTGAAAAATGCCTCCACTAAAGTCTCTAATTTATCTGTCATGTCTGAAGTACGTTAATGCTATTAATATTTTAACTCTAAAGCAAATGTGTCAACATCAGTTATAGAATGATACCTATTTAAAAGGTCTCTTCAACAGCAGTTACCACACCATTGTATCAGAGGTATTACAGCTCTGTCTTAATTCCAAAACGCAACTCAATCTTAATTATATAGCAGGGATTTGACACCTCCATAATTTAAAGAGGAAATACAGTAACTGAGGAATCTGTCAAGAAATGTTGACTATTTTTTATGGCAACCACTATTATGTTTAACAAAATACCCTTATGTTTTATACAGTGTAATTTGATGCTTAAATGACTACTTAAGACACATTTCACAGTATTAACAGCTGTTGAAAGTGATCTACTTGCTCTTTGGATATGCAAGATACTGTTGTATATTATTCACTTGCTGCATATCCTTAAATGTGGTACTGTGTGTACTGTACAGAATAAATGTAAATCTTAATACACAATTTGAAATGAAGTATATAGTATTTACATGATATATACAGTACATACTGGTGCTATGTTATACAATGTGTGTATGCATGTTTGTGATACCATATAACTGTAAATGTATTGAACAGAGAGATGGACTGAGATTTAAAGTTGTGGGAAGGAGGTTCCATGCTTTGGGCCCATCACAGCAAAGTTATAATGAGATGTGAGAATATTATCCCTAAAAGGTGGATGTTGTATGAGCGGCGGACCCGGAGGTGGTCTCAGCTGCAGGTGCTAAGAGGTGGTCACTGATGTAGCCAGGGCCTATACTTTTAAATATATTTTACATATAAAAAACTACTGTCAAGTATTGTATGGTTTCAAAGTTAAGTAATCAAAAGTTAGGCAATGTCTGAATTAATGTTGCCTATGCAATTCAGCCTTCTTCTGCCATATGCATTGTGTTAGTCTTTTAACTTGCAAGGTGTTACTTTTTTTTAACCACATAGGACCCTGCCTCTTTCAATGCACAGGATAGGTAGTGCCCCTGAATGAGTAACTTTTCAATATTTCTGTTTATCCTCGTTCATTTGGTAGCCAAATGCATAATATTTACCACATACCATTTAAACCCTGCACTGTGTACAAAATTATTCATTTCTTCATGAGCTTTTCTATGACACACATCGCTGTCGTGTCAGAATGCTTCACAAACTTTAAGGTAACTTGGTATCATCAACCCCACTTTAAAGATGTGAAACTGAGTAGTAGAGAGATTAAGGCTAAAATTGTCAGGTGCCCAACTTGTGAAACACTTGGGGCCTGATTTTTTTCAGAGCATTTTTATAGCACTTTATATGGTCAGTGCATGCACTGACTTCAGTTATGGTTGTAAGTGCTCAGTGGTTTGAGCATTGGCCTGCTAAACCCAGGGTTGTGAATTCAGTCCTTGAGGGGGCCACTTAAGGATCTGGGGCAAAGATCAGTATTTGTTCCTGCTAGTGAAGGCAGGGGGCTGGACTCGGTGACCTTTCAGGGTTCCTTCCAGTTCTATGAGATAGGTATATCTCCATATATTATTATTATTATTATAGGCCCCCAGATGTTTCCTGGTGGGCACCTAGAAACCCAATTAGTGGCCACCTGTGAATTTTGGTTGCAGTGACATAGGAACTCTGCGGCAGAAGCAAGGATAGGTTCCAGTTCTCAGAACTGTCTTGATCATAAGACTATCCTTTCCCATCCTGCAGTCCTTTGCCTCATTCGCCACATGCCTTCCAGCTTCCTCAACAAATGAGGCAGGCATCTTACAAACAACTGCCTCATTCACTACACAACTGATTCATTCCCAACGCACCATCTGCGCTGTGCACTGAACAAGACAGAAGGGCTGGGGAAAAAATAGTAGGTGATGCCGTAACTAAAGACTGTATCACAATGCATGTGCACAAAGGGGCCAAATTAAGGTTACACAAGCTTAATTCTGCCATTTCCTACCTTCAGGATGCTTGACTTTGCCGTCTTTTATAGTGTTCTTTTAATGTCGTTTTTTAACTTAATTTAAGGTTTTTTAAAACAAACGGGGGAAAAAAACAAAAAGGAATTCCATCATACAGAGCCATACTGTGCCACACCCAGGGCTACTCAGCAGTGTTGGAGCCTTTAAATCCACAGCAGACTTCTGCCACTTGAGCTGATAGCGTAACGACTAATAGTAGTTGACTGTTAGTCTCTCTGAACCAGCCGCTAAGGAAGATGAGAGACTTTGCAAATGGGTTTCACGGGTATTTGCTAGACAGCAAATGTTGGGACTCAGGCCTTGGCTACACTGGCGCTGTACAGCGCTGCAACTTGCTGCGCTCAGGGGTGTGAAAACGCCCTCCCCCCCGAGTACAGCGCTGTAAAGCGCCAGTGTAATCAGAGCCTGCAGCGCTGCACACTCGCTCGCAGCACTGCAAGCTATTCCCCTCGGAGAGGTGGAGTACTTACAGTGCTGCGAGAGAGCTCTCGCGGCGCGACTACACTCGCGCTTCACAGCGCTGCCGCAACAGCGCTGGGAAGTTCTGAGTGTAGCCAAGGCCTCAGTCCCTGTGTTCTGTTTTACATTTTAGAGGGGAGCATTCTCAAGTGGATACGGCCTCTTCTGCCCCTTTCCCCCACTTCCCAGCTTGACCCTTTTTGCTCATCATTTGCATGTCCCCTTGTTATCTTGTTTCTGTGCTCTGTCCATCCTCTAGCTTACACCCATTTCCCCTCCGCTTGCCCCTGCCGCTCCTCAGCCTTGTGCAGTCGAGTTAGGCTCTGTTGCCTGGGTGTCACCTGGGAAATGATTTAAAACACTGGAGAGAAGGTTTCCATGTTTTGTTCTGGTGCCCGGAGGGGAGGCGGGAGGCAATTGTAGGGAAAGTTCTGCTCCGCCCCTGCAGCCTTGGGCTGGAGCATGCTCAGTGAGCTTGGAAAGGTGGAATATGCACAGTGTAAACAGAATCTTCTGAGATTATTGTTGGGTAGGTCTCTAATAAACCTGCTGAGCACACGCACAGGGTGACTTTTAGAGGCTCGTAATTTGGCCAAATTTGGATGGATTTTCACTGCAATAAACATCTTTCTGATACCCCTCCCTTGTCAAATTCCTAGCCCTTGCTCCAAGACATAGAAGCTCTAGAGCAGTGGTGGGCAACCTGCGGCCCGTCAGGGTAATCCACTGGCAGGCCGCGAGACAGTTTGTTTACCTAGACCGTCCACAGGCACGGCCGCCCGCAGCTCCCAGTGGCCGCGGTTTGCTGTTCCCAGCCAGTGGGAGCTGCGGGAAGCAGCGGCCGGGCCGCAGGTTGCCCACCACTGCTCTAGAGCTTCTCAACTAAACTACTATAAGGATTTTTTAACATGAGAAAATATTTCATGTAACTTTGATCTCAGAAACAACAACTATTTTGATGAAAGGTTTAAAAAAATCTCATCCTGAGGCAGACAGACCCCTGGCATGGAGAATTTCAGCCTGGATGGTTAAAGTTTGCAGTTATAAGCAGCTGAAAATAGGTCTTTATAATTGGAAATGCTGGGCAGCCTTAACTTTATTGCAGGTCCTGATGGGTATATACGTTCTCACACACTTGCCTGTAGTGATCCTACCCTCATACCACAATGTACCTTTGCTGGGGCAAGTCCCAAACATGGAACCTCTTTTCTACCCCGCCCCCACTTTACGCCTTGTGAAATCTTTCAGGATGTTCCCTCCTTTTAGAAAGCATTTGTTAAAGTCAAGAGGTTGTTTTTTTATTTGGGGGATGACCATTGCTCCTGTGTTTTATTTTACCTTTTTTTTTGTGTTGAGTCACCATGTAATGGGTTTAGTTGATCACTTTAACAAGGGTGATTTTTGTTACAATGCTTTCATGTATATTTAAAAATGGTTTTGTTATGCTATGTGGTGTCCCAAGCACTGGGGATGGGGGTGGTGTCTTTAGCAATAAGCGTTATATACACTGTGTGTATTTGTTATACTAGGGGCTGGTCCACACTAACCCCCCACTTCGAACTAAGATACGCAACTTCAGCGTTATTCATGTAGCTGAAGTCGAAGTATCTTAGTTAGAACTTACCGCGGGTCAACACGCGGCAGGCAGGCTCCCCCGTCAACTCCGCGTACTCCTCTCGCGGAGCAGGAGTACCGGCGTAGACGGCGAGCACTTCCGGGATCGATTTATCGCGTCTAGACAAGACGCGATAAATCGATCCCAGAAGATCGATTGCTTACCGCCGGACCTGGTGGTAAGTATAGACGTACCCTTGGAGAATAGGTATGGAGCACTTGACAATGATGAAAATACACTAGAATAAAGAAAAGAGTGTTTGTCTGGCAGACGTTCTGCACCAGCCTGGGCAACTCATAACTACTGGAAAAATGTGAAATGTACATAGAGAAAATGAAATCGTGCAGAAAACATGAATATAATAAACTTCCAAAACATGCCATATAATCCAGACAGAGTGTATGTGCATTTGGGATGCTATTAACAGTAGACGAGTTAGCACAGTTTTCTAGGGATTGGTTGATTAACTAAAATCTAGTCTAATACAAATTAAGTGATTAAACACCTACTCAGTCTTTTTTTAGACTTGCTCACAACCGTCTCCATTCAGTTAGTGCCTCTCAATGCATTGTCACTGAAAGGTCTGAGAGAGGCAGCACTGAGCTCCGTAATCTTCCATGAGAGAAGCAAGGTATTTTCTTTTATGGTTTGTTTTATAATAGCAATAATGTTGATTGCATTCTAATATACTCACAATAA